AGAGAATCATACATACAATACATACATACATAACATACATACATACATACATATTACATAATACATACCATACATAATACATACATACATACATACATACATACATACAATTACATACATACATACATACATACATACATACATACATACATACATACTAATACATACATACATACATACATACATACATACATACATACATACATACATACATACATACTATACATATACATACATACATACACATACATACATACATACATACATACATACATACATACAAATTACATACATACATACACAGTTACATACATACATACATACATACATACATACATACATACATACATGCATTACATGCATTACATGCATTACATACATTACATACATACATACATACATACATACATACATATATATCATATGTACCACCAGGGTAGTGCGTGTCGAATCTAACTATGAATCACGTCTTAACCTCTACGATAGACATTCATGGCATTTTATAAGCGCAGAACCATGGTTCGATAGTATCCTGCCGCTTGGCTGACCGCAGTACAATACATTGCCACGTTCAACTGCTCTCACAGATCAGAGATTAGTTGTGTTTGCTATGAGATTAGGTTACTTGTTTGTTTTGTTATTCTGGGCGCACTAGCAGGACAAATCAGTGATTCATGACCAGATGCAGCGGCTCTAAGTACTCACTTCCTTCCGTCACGTGTGAAGAGCAAAAATCACAGAGATGGAGGTGGGGTCTCAATAGAACACTGGGTGTCTCAGTCTCACATGATATATCTCATACAGGTTTCATTAGCAGCTCGGTGGCTGTTATTGAAGGCGTCACATCTATCTTGTGCTGGTTTCATTAGAGGGTGGCTACCACTGGATCTGTGTCATCTATTCATTCTCTTATACATATATATTTAGTTTCATTAATCAGGTTTGTTCTTGCAGCACACACAGCCCAGTCCAAGTAATTCAACAGCTTGCATATATAGTGATATTGCATGAGATGTTTCCTTTGCTGAATGGCGAACCTCGGATTGAAAACTCGCTCGATTATTGGATTAGTTTGGATCCTGTACCCGCAGTTATAAGCTTCACAAGATAGATTAGTGGTTTCATTAGTTTTAAGGGAGGGACTGCTAGATATCATGTGTCTACCCAATCTCCCACGGCAGGGAATGCGTTAGAGGGCAGCCACTTGAAAATGCTGGGTGGGATTATTAGATTGTTGGCGTAGTACTGCAAATTGAATATATATATATATATATATATATTCAATATATATATATATATATATAATATATATATATATATAATATAATATATATATATATGTGTGTGGGTATTTTCAGTGGCCTTACGATGTAGGCTTGCTTTGTCACTTTCTTTGTGCACGTCCATGGTCGCGAGGTGGACTCGTGCAGGGACAGTCCCGAGCTGGGTGTGATTCGTTTCCTCTCGCAGGCGTAATTAATTTAAGTCATTATGATTATCTCTGCCACACACCTTACACGACCATCACAGGTGGCATCTGCGTGACATTCGTGACACACACCTGAGTCGCGTGACATTCACGGGGAAGGGAAACATGAACAAGACCAGTGTACATCAATTATACACGCGTGATGCCACGTAGCGTAATGCTGGCAACTTCGAGGTAATCGTTGGATTTGCACCATCGGCTATGGCTAGCTGTGCCACAGTATTCTGTAAGTAGTGCGTGCACACGCTATGCTAGTACGGGTGCGTGCATGCAGGTGTGGTTGTTGTGAGTTGGCATTAGGTGCTGGGAGACCGGTGAGAAGGGGGTGGGACAGGGAGGTGGTGATGCGTACCACCGTGTAATTAGTCATGCTATAGGCTTGAATTCAGGGATAATAAAAGGCACGATTGCATTATAGATTGCGACGGTAACCCATGCAGTCACTCTGCAAGAGTCTGTGTCGTCACATATACAAGTCTATGTTCGTGTTGTCCGATATACAAGTCTGGATTCGTGTTTCCTAATATATAATAGACTCCTTTCTCGTCGTTCGGGAATACAGCCAACATTGATTTTACCTGATAACACAGGCTGTGTTATTATCACCTAGCTAGCTGGTAAGACAGGCTCTGATTTTTCACCTAACATGACAGTCAGGTTGTGATAGTGTCATTAATTGAACATAACAGGTAGTACAAATACTAGTGTACATGACAGTAAGTGTGAAAAGATACGTGAAGTAGATACATGCTCAGTCGTCCTGCGAGCTTGCAATAACTGTATGTTCGTACTTGCATCGATTTTGTCACGTTCCGTCTTCATTAGTGTTCTGGCCAGGTTTCCAGGTGAGTCTGCAGATTGGAGTCTACCATCTTGACACTCTCGCCCCTATCACAGTTAGCATCCCATTATTTTATTCATGAACTAATTAATCAGCACAAAGTATCTCTTGAGATAGCTTTAATATTTATGAGGATGATGTGGCAGAGCCAAGGTGAAGGCGGTAACTGCGGTCATGGTGCATTGATTCTTCTGGTTCGAGATGTCTTGTAGGGATGTATGTCTCTCGAGATCCAGTTGTCTCGTTGTTTTTTTGTCACAGATGTGCCGTTTTTCAGTGATCGTAATGATGGTGGTTGCTGTGGATTCTGCTAAATTAGCTCAAATCGATTGTGAAGCTGTAGCGAGAAAAGCTGCTAAGATAACTTCCATCTGTAGGCCCTACGGTGTCTGCTGAGCAGGAATGTCATTGATTCGCAAGGGACGCACGCAGCTTGTACGAAAGGCAGAGCCATAGTCACAACTAATTTTGGTCAAAGAAACGCAGCAGAATCGATGAACGCTACTTTTCGATTTGTCTTTGTCGCAGCGCCGAGCGATTTTTTTAAACAACTGATTGCGGTGTTGAGTTTTGCTTCATTTATTACGGAGGTGCAGCCAGCTAGCTAGCAGACGTACGTCACAAGCTGCAGCGCAACGCACGTCAACGCAGCACTGATCGTGTTCGATTTCACTTCGTTGACGTGGGTTGTTTAAAGTTGCTTAACCTCGCAGCTAAATGCATATATATAGACCTACATTGAGCTCGTCTATGTTACAAAAATTCACTAGAACTCATTTGTATTGCTACTTTCATAACAATTCTTCTCAAAATCTAAACGAAATTACTTCTTTTACGAAAGTAGCACCACAGTGATGTTTACACATCCGGGACACAGCGGAGCGATCGTTAACAGTTCTTTTCTATGATAAAACAAGTTATAATTCATTAATTTCATTACAAGAAATTTGTTTAAACCATATCGTTATAAATCTATATTACTTATGCAATCAGGAAACAGTGCTTTTCGTTCCAGGAACTATTTGCGCTAGCGTAGGACTACTGCTAGCTGTACGTGTGACATAACAACATCGACAGTAATTTTGAAAATCCCAATGTTTGTAGCACTAATTCCTTGGCTCAATGAGAACATTTCGTGATGTTTGCACACTGCAAGTATGCTGACAGTATGTCTGTATCTAGGCTTTTTGTTGCGAGGTTTATCCGTTTTAAGGATCACGTGAAGTTCACATTGTTCTGTTATTGCGCGCGCCGTTAACTTGCGAAATTGCAGAAACGTTGGATGCAAGTGTGACTCGAAAATGCAAGCGTGAGACAAAAACAGTAATGCTGCTTTGAGTATGTAAGATAGAAAGAGGGAGGGGAAGCAGGAGCAAGGATGAGAGTGAAAAGAAGATTGAGACAGCGAGATAGAGAAGGGGGTCAGGAGAGAGTTGGGAGGGAGAGCATTCAGTAAGTGAGAGAGAGAGAGAAAACAAGAGAGAGGGAGAGAGAATGAGAGAAGAGTGATGGAGTGAAGGAGGGAGAAGTGTAAAATCTTTGTGTCTATTTCGTGTGTCACGCGCGTCACACCCATTCGAAGTCGGTCACCTGTGACCCACAAACGATGTGGTCAACAGACTTCAGCGTACGTGATTCCTAATCGCACTCCCCATCTCTACTCGCCAGATGGCATTCAACTTGCGCTCGTCGAAGTTCCGACATGTCTACGGCGTGCCGGCGAAGAAGAACCAGTGCTACGAGTGCATCAACATCACGAAGAATGCTCACGACAGCAACTTCTGCACCGTCAACCCAAAGTTTGTCGCCGTCGTCACAGAGTGCGCCGGCGGAGGCAGTTTTCTCGTGCTGCCCATCGAGAAGGTAAGAGCATCTAATAGCGCTGACAATCGGCGGTGGGTGGGCTTTTGCAGGAATCGAATATGTTTTTATTTAGGCAGATGCAAGTCCTGCCTTGGGGGCTACTCGATGTTTTCGGGGACCAGGAAAGTTGGTGTGGCACCAATAATGCTAGCAACGACGCAAACCTTTCCTTTACTATAGGGGCACCAAGGCAACTTACTTTTCATCAAAACTATGTGGATGTAAGGATACATACACAACATAGAATTTCTGGATTTCATAGAGTTTAATTTGGTGCCGCACCAAGGCAAATCTTGCGGTTGAGAAGCACATACATGTAGTACTCGTATACTTAGATAACTCTGGTTCGCCATATGCACATGTACATCTCGAATACACAAGTTGATCGCAGGAGTTGCATTTAGATGTTTCTTATGGACTTCTCCTTCCTCTCACACTTTGCAGACCGGAAGACAAGAGATCAATGTGCCGAAGGTCACTGGTCACAAAGGTGTCGTGCTCGACGTCAAGTGGAATCCATTCAATGACAACATCATCGCCTCCTGCTCTGAGGATTGCACAGTGAGTGTCCCTACTGGGCATGTGACAGAGCTCGGATGCATGTCTGTTTAGGAGGGGGAAATGCTGACTGCTCCTTGCTGGGTGTGAATGTGCATCTGTTCCCGTAGATGTGCAAACAACATGAAGTATGCGAGTTGGCTGACTTTCGAATTCGGATAAATTACGCATTTATTATATATATATATATATATATAATTCATATTAATTATATAATAATAATATATATTATATTATATGCGTTGTGTCAGTTTTTATGATTCATTAGCATTCAGAGATAAATATGATGTTAATTTAATTATGAGCCCACTGTGTACTGATCATGAGCGCAATTAGGCACCAGAGTAGCACAACCTACGTCATCGCTGTGAAGGAGCGGCACAAGCCACGGTGGCAATTGTATGAATGCTATCACATTCACATACGTGATGTTAAAATCTGTTTTTAATTCACCCGCTTCACATTTTCAATGATTCGTATTTGTCACGTTGAATGCGTAAACGGTGCTCATTTAACAACGTCAGAAATTGATAAGAAAAGCTGCAATATTGCTATCCTTCAATATGTGTGGATCCCATTGCCAGGCATTAGCCCAACAAGTGAGAAGCTACACTGAAATTGAACAGGGACAGGACCTGCTCCTGGCACCCTAATTAATACTCAGAGATCTCAATGAACCAAACTGACGTATAATGGGGGAGCTTTAGTCAATATATTTGCCACAGAAGCAATATATTCGCCATAACGTTCGAAGTAGTGCGTAGCACTTGTGGCGAGTGGGATTTTGCACGGGCCGACCAGCTGCTGCTGATAGAAATTTCACCCACCGGCTGGCTTAGCTATTGCATCATGGTTGCTGTGAAACCAAACAGTACATCTCAGTGCATCTCTGTTGAAATATTAATTGTAGGCAGTTCGATAACCCCAGCCGTGCATGATAGCATTTTGCTGTGTGGATGTGTATGCGTGCGTGCGTGCGTGCGTGCGTGCGTGCGTGCCAGTCAGTCTGTCTGTTTGCGTGTGTGTGTGTGTGTGTATAATTGGTATGTATTATAATAGTATAATAATATATTATTGGGCTGTGTTTGAGTAGACTCATGGTATAAATGCCCTGCATGTTTACATATAGAGGTACGCCATAATAGTAGCTCTATATCTCTCGGGGACGATCAATAACATTACGTAAATTGTCCAAAAATATGATGCAATTATATCTCCACTCTGTAGGGATATTTCTTACATTATTTGCCTAATCTAGTGAGTGTGGCCATCTGGGGAGTCGAAGCGGCCAGCATATCTTATTAGTTTGATATCAGCCGAAGGTTATTCAGCTTTATTAAGTTTGAAAATTGACCTAACTAAACATTAATATTGGGGTTTAATGTATACAAAAACCAGAGTGATCGTATGCAGGTAAGGTTTCCACTGCTTTCGTCCACACCAAAATAGTGTAACTACTAGAGGTGTAACAATACACTTGGGTCACGTTACGATACATATCTCGATACGTAGGTTAGGATATGATATGTATCGAGATACACAGACAGAAAGAAAAGATAATATATATAAATATATAATATCAGGAGTAGATAAAGGGAAGGAGTGTGACTTCAATAAACAAGGGAAATTCGTCATTTACTAGCCTTATAATACCTACGATTTACTACGCGTAACTCATCCAACTTGAGCTCAAATCGGACACAGTACATTCGACCATCATCGTACCAGATCGTTTCCTTGTAGACACCCGCAATCCGGAGATACAGACTAAAACATACGACACGATTCTCCAATCTTTGTCCATTAATCAACCGTAGCAATCGCCTATACTTCAAACAAAAGGCAGCTACTAACCACACTGTCCACGGGGCTTGCGCTCACGGCGAGGCGCTGTGGCTCGCAGGGAGCTGCTGCTGATAGCGGATTGGCGTGCGTGCGTGCCGGCATGCCGGTATGACATACAGGCAAACATTGTAGCTGTCTACCGGGTCAAAGGTTATCTCGCCGAGTGTTGCGTTGATGCCTAATCACCCTGCTAGCCACAGCGCCTCGCCGTGAGCGCAAGCCCCGTGCAGTGTGGTTAGTAGCTGCCTTTTGTTTGAAGTATAGGCGATTGCTACGGTTGATTAATGGACAAAGATTGGAGAATCGTGTCGTATGTTTTAGTCTGTATCTCCGGATTGCGGGTGTCTACGAGGAAACGATCTGGTACGATGATGGTCGAATGTACTGTGTCCGATTTGAGCTCAAGTTGGATGAGTTACGCGTAGTAAATCGTAGGTATTATAAGGCTAGTAAATGACGAATTTCCCTTGTTTATTGAAGTCACACTCCTTCCCTTTATCTACTCCTGATAATATGTATTTCAATGCTTTTATAACACAAATGTATTATGAGTATGTCAAAGCAATAGAAAGTTGGTAAACAATCAGTTGCTGTATATATATATATATATATATATTTCTATGGCTGAAACACACTGTGACGTTCTTAGTGTGTTCTAGACTGACCTGTAATCGACACTCCACACACAGTTGCACCATACACAGTGCTACAGTACGTGCGCAGTAACGACGCACACCAGTCAATCAGCACTCTTATTTTGCGGTAACAATTTTGGGGGCAATACCACTACAAGCGCGGCACATATAAAATATTGACCCAGATTTCTACAACAGCCAAGGATATTTAGGTGATACTAAGAGGGAGTTAATAAATTAAAAGCAAGAATTCAGTTTAAAAGGAATTACATGTGCTTTATTTAATAGTTTAGCTTGCCTTATCCACTATTTAACATCCCTATTGTTTGTATCACGATACGGGACGCTGCATATCGATTATCGCATTATCGGTGAATTGTTACACCCCTGGTGACTACTGCAGGTACCACACGCATTATGACGTGAAAATGAGAAACAAAGGTGTGCCCACTTGCAAAAGCCTACGGCTTCCCCAATGACAAACACGTGTATGTATGCTCAGGTGAAGCTGTGGTTTATCCCGGACGGAGGTCTGCGGTCGAACCTGAACGACTGGATTATGGACTTGCACGGACATGAGAGGAGGGTCGCGTCGCTGGAGTGGCATCCCACTGCAGAGAACATCCTCCTCAGCGCTGGATTTGACTACAAGGTGTGCACACAGCAGGCGAGGACACAGGAGGAGATAGAGAAGGAGTAGAGAATGAGAGTGAGAGAGAGAGAGAGAGAGAGACAGAAAAAGAGAAGGGGAGAGAGAAAGACAGAAAAAGAGAAGGGGAGAGAGAGTAGGAGATGGGGGGGGGGGGGAGAGTAGGAGATGGGGGGTAGGAGAAAGAGAGAAGGGAAGAAGGGGATGAATACACATGTGAAACAAGTATCATGCAACATGCACTTGTTGACACACACTGTCACCTGTTTTAGATTATTGTCTGGAACGTTGGTAAAGGTGAAGTCGTCAATGAGATTGAGTGTCACACAGACACCATATACTCGATGTCATTCAACCGCACTGGTAGCCTCCTAGCCACCACATGCAAGGACAAGAAGATACGAATAATCGAGCCACGGACCGGAGAAGTGTGCAAGGTAACGTGACCGCAAGCATGCCGCTAACCTGTCAACAATACTCTGTCACTCTCATTTGATTTTAGGACAGTACACCACTATTATATGGTCTACAGACGATATATTCCATTGATCATACACACAGGCAATATACTTTCAAACAATATTTCACATAAATACTGCATAAACTGCTAGGTCTGCAGATTTTCGATGTAATTTAATCCAATCCCTACCAACCAGAGCATGGCCTTCCAGAGAAGGCACATCTGTTGGACTTCTATGTCTTTTCTTTATGAAAATGATTAAAAACCCATTTTAAGAGTTGATTAGAACAACTTACCAGACTGTATGTGCCAATAGGGCAATACACCAATAATCTCCTAAACATTTTTTTTTTCAACAAAACTGATATATCAATAATAATACCTCGATCAACCAGTTTCTAGCAAATCTAACCACTTTGGTAATACACAGGCATGACCCGGTAGGCATATCCAGAAACTGGGAATCTTACTTTTGTGCTTAACATATTTTTAGAACAGCTTCCCCCATTGTTGGGCTGATTTCTCATGACTGCTTTTTTCGCTTACACAGGAAGGTTTGGGTCATCAGGGGTCAAAGTCAACAAAGGTTGTCTTCATGGGGGATCATGGGAAGCTGCTAACGACTGGATTCTCTAGGATGAGTGAACGTCAGCTGGCAATATGGGACCAGGTAACAACATGAAAATATTGAGTTTTTCACTCTCTGCGCATGTGGTCCCTTCCCTGTGTTCAGAGAATTTTGTTTATTTTCTGTCCCTCGTATCTCGCAATTTACTTCACCATTTCAATACGTTTTCAAGGCTGTCTTTCTTCTCTGCTTAATGAATAATGGAGATCACGTCTGATACTACTCAAATAATGGTGAATTGAAAAGCATCCGATTTGAAATTTAACACAAATAGTTGCTGTTTGCAAGTACTATATGTATGGGTATACGCCACTAAAGGCTAATCTACACTTGCATTAAACTCGGAACTACATGAAATTTGATTTATATTGTTACACATTGAATGAAGCATGTAAGTATTATCGCATAGTATTGTTATGAAAGGCCACGACAACTTATTCCAAGCTCGGAACTACATTTATGTGTGAGAGCAGGCAGGGGCGGATGTCACTCACATTATTATGTACACAATTCTTCAGCTCTTGTGTTTTGCCATAGGCAGGCTTTTTGAGATGTCGCAAATGCATCTAATAACTATATAACTTTGCGATAAAAGCTTCGCGAAAGTTCTTTGGCTAAATGTAATTTGGAAACACTGCAACAGCATTAGGGTGCCTGCAGTATTCAGGCATGTGCATATAAATATATATTATATAAATTATTTATGCAGAGTGTTCAAGACTATTGCAGTACGGTGTCTGGTGTGCTACACATTGATTTTTATTATGTCAGCCATGTTGTGGGCTTAAGAGTCAATGTGAGCTCGTCTGACATACAGCAGGATTCGAATACATAAATTACAAATACACATTCGAAACCACATGGGCAAGCACGAACGGGCGGACACACGCACGCACACGCGTGCACACGCGTACACGAACGCACACGTTCACACACACATAAGCACGTACGCACGCACACACATACACGGCATTCATGAGCTTGTGTTTGCGTTAGATTGAGCGTGCAGTAGCTACGTGGTGTACCCACACCGTGACTATTGGTCACGCAGCTCCTGGTTAGTTTTACTAGTTAGAAGCAAGCCAGCCTCACGGCGCATGATACTGTCGATAAATAATTCCCTCGGCGGCGACATTCTCGGCTAAATACGAAACTCGTACGCGATGGATTTCTCACGTCAGCTTATCGTAGATCGGAGCGTATTGGAGCATATGGAGGTTTGGCGCTTGTATGACGTTGAGCGCGGAAGAACAGCTATGTTAATCTGCTTGTAAATGTAAATTTCCGTCCGTTCTCCATCGGTTAAATCGTGTCTGACTGCAATCCCGATTTCGAGAATTATCTGCGGAGAGTTTGTGGCGTTTGGAGGTTTATGTTGTTCCAAGGTCTCGCAGGGGAAGTTGTCGCATCATTACTATATGAAGGTCGCAGACTACAATTACAGAGATAGTCAGTGTGGTTTCAAGGTGTCGGGGTAATATTGCAAGGGTTCGGGATGCCTAGCTTATATATCGGGGAGCTGCGTGTTGCTTGCAGTGTTACTGTAAATTGGTGTGTTTTATGGTGATGTGTGGATAGCTAGTTTGAAACTTTGGAAGCTGCATCAGCAAAGCTTAAGCCTAGCGCACACACCCGAGCAAAACGGGAAATTTTGTTTTCCAGTGTTTCGCGTTCTGCTCGGCGAGCAAGCGCACACACGCCACCCAACACAGCACACAGCTGAGCAAAACATACAGAAACACTGCGTACAGCGCCGCTGTCACACGACATCAAAAATAGCCATCCAATAGACATCCAATTTTGTGTGTCATGTGATATTTTTAAGGATATTGATTGGAGACCGTCTGTGGCATTTTGCTGTGTAGCAGAACGATTGACGCACACACCCGAGCAAAACGTACGCTCAGGCGAAAACACGTTCCGCGAATCGAACATTGCTTGTTCAGCGAAACACGCTCAGCAGCTGAGCAATGTTTTTTGTTTCGGGAATCCGCACACAGCCACGAACATCGAGTGAAACACGTTTTGCTCGTCGTTCAGGATGTTTTGCTTGGGTGTGTGCGTTATGCTTTAGAAACGGCTTAAAGAAGGCACAGTGTGGGTGAGAATGTGTTCAATGGGAAATGTCACCTTGATGGCTTTCTGAGAGTGGACTTGGCAACAAACGAACGTCAGAGTACACAGAGTCTGGAGTTTCGATAAAATTTTGTTATTTTACCCAGATACCTGATATATCTAACCGTGTTATTAAAAAAACAACAAGATAAAGACAAGTTAAAACTGATGAAGCGAAATGACGCAATTATGTACTGAGTAAGGGAAATATATAGCGTGCAGAAAAGGAAAATTAGTAGGAAGTAGGAAAATATTGGTAGCGGACGAGGTAGGTTAATAAATTAAGGGTTGGTAGAGTAATAGAACTATTGCAGCAATTCAAGATGAGATTGATAATAGCAAAACAAAAATCATCTGGTAATTCATATAATGATAGATTTGAAACTTGAAAGATTGATAGACGAAAGTTAAGCAAGCTGCAGGTGAGATTGTTTGATAAATGATAAGATAGATAACTACCGAAAATTCGTGTATATGAAGCATCATAAACTTTGAGCGTCTGAAGCAAACAAGTGTAGCTGACTACTGCATGCATTTATGAAAACAGATCGCACATTTACTATTAACCATTAACTATTTACTCGTGTGAGCATAACACAAGCTTCCGTTCCACGTCCGGTGACTTCCATCGAAGCACGCGTTTTTAGGAAGCTGTTTTCATCTGGAGAGTGAACACCAAACACCGTTGATGCTGAACCAAAGCTCCTGTTAATTGGCATTAGTTTGCTCTAATGAATTTAGCAATTCATCTGTAACATGAGGATTATATACAGCAGTGAATGAATGGTAGCATTGAGTCAGGTTATAAAATAATGAGCCCTTATTAAAATATTGTATTAACCTGTGACGCCAGTGGAGGCATTATTGAACAGTCGGTGTCATGGATATCTGGGGAAACCAAGATTTTAGCGGATTTGCACATCGTAATTATAAAATATACATGTAGAGGCACCTCGAATGTTGGCACCACGAAACGAACTTTACTCTTCTGTAGATATACGTTGTTTTAGCTGTTGTATTGATCCTGAGTCTAACAACATGTTGGGGGAATAAATAACACACGCGTTGGCCCGTTCAGATTTAATGGCTGCACCATATATTTGCAGGGCAATAAACCGCTTGGATCCACCATATAAACCACCACTATTGTTCATGGCACCAAACCATACTGAAACACACCCAATGTCATTTGTCTAAGAGTGACCTTTGTCTCAGAATAACTTTTATACCAGAATGACATTTGTCTCAGAATGATCTTTGTCGTAACTTGACCTTTGTCTCAAAATGACATTCGTCACAGCATGACTTTTGTGTCAATATGACATTTGTCACAACACGACCTTGTCTAAGCATGACCTTTTTCACAGAATGAACTTTGTTTCAATTGCATTAGAACGGTAATCGTTTAAATTGAAACTGTTTTAGATCTTTTTTCTTTGTATGACTATAGTCTGGGAGCATTGTTTTATAACTACTTACCTTTTTTTAGAATGACCTCTCTAAACCACTGAAGTTGGACATCATTGACTCGTCGTCTGGCATCCTGATTCCTCACTATGATTACGACACCAACATCGTATACATTGCTGGCAAGGTAGCCAGACTTACGCTTCCGATCTCCTGAAACACTTAACACATATCGGTGATGGCATGGCCTGAGTTTTGACCAGTAATCCCAAAAACATGCTAACATTGTTGAATATGCCATCATTTACTAGTGTACCGGACCGATAACATGCTTGCTATTATTTATAGCCTGTATACGATGTAATCTCTATTCGATATTTAATAAAAGCCATTGTACCTTTTTTAAAAACAGGTGATAGTAAGTAACGTGCACCAAGAAGCCTGTGTACTTGAAAATTATCCTAGGGACAAATATATAGAGACAAACAACTAATAATGAAAATATCTAAGGCTGAGATATTAATAAGGTTATCTGAGATGCCAATAGATGGCCGCATGATTGATATAGGGGGAAGTTAACCTTTCGACTGTGATGTTGTAAGTCGAGGCAGCGACCTTAACTGTCGTTCATTGCTGCGCAGGGCGACGGCAACATTCGCTACTACGAGCTCGTGAACAGTGCTCCCTACATTCACTACCTGAGTGAATACAAGTCGTCGGCGCCGCAGCGCGGACTTGGTACGATGCCAAAGCGCGGGCTGGATGTGATGCGCTGCGAGGTGACACGCTTCTACAAGCTGCACATCGTCAAGGGCATTGTCGAGCCGATCGCGATGGTCGTGCCGCGCAAGGTGAGGAGGGGCGTGCAGCATCGTCACCATCACTGGGGGGTGCTGGGGGTGCTGGAGAGAGGATGCTAGATGGAGGGGTAAGGAGGATGTTGGTGGGTGGGGGATGCTTGTCGGTGGGGTTAATTGATTGGAGATGCTGGAAGATTGGAGCACTGGATTAGAAGTAGCAAGAGTAGAAATGTAGCAGGATGTAAATGGTGTCTAGTGGGAATTTGATGGTGGGTATCATGAATGCAGTAGGAGTGGCTTGTGAAGTTCAAGCAGGCATGACGCATGAATGACATATATCATCCTACACTACTGTGCTTTCAGTCGGAGCAATTCCAGAGTGACATATTTCCCGACACGGCCGGAACTCTCCCAGCAATCTCAGCTGATGAATGGGCGCAGGGCATTGACAAGGCACCCAACCTGATGTCACTGAAGGTTTGTAAACCACCTAACCATCTGTCAGCACCTATCCAATGAGTGATAACACACAGAATATTTTCTCCATAGGTGTGTTTTAGTTTTACAATCTGGCAAGTGCCAAAGGATTATGCTAGCAACTTTTATAGTTTTACAACCTAGCGTTAAGTCACAATTTTACTCCGCAGGGGTGTTTATAGTTTTACAGCCTGCCAACGTTTCGCAGTTTTACATTTCAGTTCGTAGTCACTGTAGTATTATGCTCGGTGTCAGGGATTCTCAACGAGTAAGTGTGTTGTAGGTTGGTGGTCAGAAGAAAACCCACAAACCACAGGTGTACCGGCCAGGTGAGAATCCGCTGGATAGTCGCAACCTGTCGAACATGAAGTTCAAATTTGTGCAGGAGGAGACAAAAGGGGCAGACTATAGGCAAGTCCAACACAAAAGGTTGCTATTGTGCTTGGTGGCTTTCTATGTTTCCATCTGCTCTCTAAAAGAAGGAAACGCGCACATGTGTGGTTTCTCTCTCGACTCCCCACTTCCGGACAAACGCAGACCTTGCGGGCATCGTTTTTAACTATTTCATCTTTTCTACATTTGACAAATGAACGTAATGCAACAGAAGACTACAGCTATAAAAACAATGTAAAATCTTTCGATTCGGTCCCAACTGAATCAAAAGATTTTGTCGATGTATATTTCAGTTGAAAGGATTGTTTACAGAGTAACATAAGTGATCTGTAAGAAAACGTTACACCCCTCGAGATACTTGTACGCCAAATACTGATGGACCACTATGTGCTCGTTTTCCTTCTCAGCATTGTAAGAGGTGCATTCACATTTACAGAGTGAGAAACGACTTTAAGAAATTATTATGCAGATCCCTGTTATGCCTGCACGTTTTGGTTTGATAATAGTGTTGTTGTAACACATTTCGCTCTGATAATGTGAAGTCACGCCTTGTTTTGCTTGCGTGTTTAGATACGTATATTAGATTAAAGTAGATATACAGCAATATAGCATGGTCGAATATCAAAAGGAAATTGTGTCAATCAAGAATAAGACACAATCATTTTCAATAAATTGCCATAAAAGTTAAAAGTTGGAATTCTAAAATATCGTCAAAAGTTCAAAGAATATCAACGTAGGTAGAGGGGAATGTCTGTAGTTTCTTGCAGTAGTTTTGTCTGTGTTCGCTGTAATGTTTCTAGCTACATGCGCTTTGCTGGTTCTGCTGGTATTCTTTCTCTGCGTTAGTGCCTCTCTGGCATTTTTGTAAACAAATCAGGGTTGTCATTATGGCAAACTCCCTAATGTCAATCGTGCTAGAACTGTACAAACATACGATTTGCTAAATCTTTCCAGCCCCTTGAGGGAATCTATTCCAGTAATGGCACAATTTCAGGATTTCAGGAATCTTTGTGCCACAACTGTTAGGGAAACGTTTCTGTTAATCATCACATCAAATTACTCATAATGTTGCTATTCTCAGAAAAAAAATAGAAGAAATTAGAATTTTGCAGTCACACAAGAATAAATCACAGAAGGAAACTACGCCAGGAAGTTATTTCTCATGACTGCCCTCGTGTCTATAATTGTCACATTATTGTACAGCGAGAAATCCTCAGCCTCCTCTACAAACGTCGTGCGAAAAAACCTGGAGAACAGGAAGAGGATGGAGGAATCACGAGGAGGAGAGACTGAGGATATCTCAGATGGGAGACTTCCAAAACGCAAGACCGTCGATATGGACAACATCGCTGATATTCCTGAGTCTGAGGTATGTGTTGCCACGGCAACCATGTTTTTCTGATCGAGAAATTTCCTTCCTTGCCGCTTTTTTTTATACAAAATTTTGCTTGATTTTATTGTGTTCTGTTAACAAATTTATTTTTTAGCCTTAAATCCTACTAACATGCATGTGCTGACCTCTACTGGCTTTAATAATTTTTATATTAATTTTTCTAATAAAAAACACATGCTATTTTGGGAAATGCAAACTTTCTAAACGACTTGCTGGTCATTTCTTGTCAGTAACTATTCATAGTACAACTAGACTATGGCGAATTGCAGAAACTGCAGTCATTTTTTAATTACTTGAAGGCCACTGAAAATATTGATGCAATAGTATACTTAAGAATTTAATAATGGTGCTCTAAAACACCTAATAAGACTACCCAATTTAATAAATTGGATAAAAAATAGTTTTGTCAGAATTGTGTAAACTCACCATACACCATTACTTTGAAACTATACTTCAATTTGGTTTTTGCCAACTTATTTGCCTGCCTGTCTACTGCCCCCCCCCCCTCTCATCGACTTTTGGTACCACGAATGAGAAATAGTTTAATGGTAGCCTGTCCATGGGTAAAATCAATCTGTAATTGCTTGTGTCTGCAGCCCAAGCAGAAGTATCGACCGCTGCATGAGTTTTACTTATATTAGCCAATGTCGTGATTATTGTTGCTTCTCGATCGTAACGTTGATTGTGTTTTGTTCCGTAATAGTTCTGTAGTTCATCTGCACATCAAATTGCTGGTCGCTTCGATCCCGTAATGGAAGCCGTGTTTCGCGGTTGCTCTTCCTATCTCCCGTTTTACTTTTTGATGTAATTATTTTTTAGTTGACAGTTCTCTCGGATTTGGACATGGTGAGCCTTTCCTAGTCACTGAATATGATTCCACCTGTACTGCCTGACTCCTTTGCTTTGTTGTTATGTTTTGCCTTCTGCATTGTATCTATGTGTAAATGTTGATAAGATTTCATGCAGTGATTTAAATAAAGCAAAATGTTAGCTGCCTACTTGTTCACTTGTTAGCAAAACTGGCTTTTTTATGCAATAGATTAATGAGCAGTACATTTGCAATGTTATAAGAGTGCAATGTAATCTGAGTGAAATTCGTTTAGTGAAAGAAAGCTTAAACATCACTAGGCGTGAGATTGATGATAACGTGCTGCCATCTAGCACACACATTCACCATCACTGTTCCCAGATTGTGGATGCACTGCCTGCTTTCTGCACGCTATGTATAGTTGCAGGATCTGCATTATTTCACGGTCTCACATGTGTATGAGCCAGTCAACTAGTGCTCTGTGTTGATTAAGAGTCAAATCTTTGTTTGACTGCTTTCTGTATTAGCATTCGTGCATACATCGGCCTACTCTCTGGGTGGTTGGAATACGCATCTAATGTTACTGTGGCGTAGAATAACTGACGGTTCATAGCTGGAGATGTCTGTATCACGTGCAATAGTTGTGTCACCATTGTCTGATATGTCATCTCTATGTATGGCGGCTTCTCTTGAAGTGTTTCTGCTTGCACGTAACAATTCACGATACTAACTCTACTACATGTCCACACACACTGCCCCATTGCCTTCCCAATGATAAAATGCCCATACCCACAAAGGTCATTTTTGTAACACAAACATCATAAAATTGTAATTCGTACCTCATCTCACTTGTCATATTATCACCAATTAATCTCGACCACTCAGCTCAAATTACTTGACAGCCTGGTGCATCAGTACAGACCTAATCTCATGCGTTGAACTGAATTGAACTCCCACCTGATTTTTAGCCAACCAAGGAAAACTGGCCTCACCATTCCCCCAGCTACTGGTTCCACAACTATAGCATTTTTTAACGCAGAACGATCTACCCAAAACAGAACCATTAATAGAGATTGGTGTTTAATTAAGTCTGGCTACAGCTGTCACTGTCTGAAGTAATAGATTTCTTATCCCTTCTTGCACTTTATGATCTTGTATTTTTAATGTGGAACATCATACTATGTATACCAATTTTGTTCCATAAATGTTTGTGGAGGCCATAGGTGACCTCTAGTTTACTAGCTTATGACATGGGCTCTTACCACTGGCTCATCTATAGAAGTGCGTTCTTCTAAACTCCGCGGGATTGCAAATTGAAGATTTTGAAGAGTCCGGAGAAAATAGCATAGCATATGAGGCATGTGACTCTCTGCAACTAAACCCCCTTGTAAGAATGGAGCAAGTGAGAGCTCCAGTGGTCTACGTTTGAGCGTACGTGGAGTATCCAGACGAATTGGAGAATGTAAGAGAATACACCGTAGCTGTGAGCGATTGCAGCATGACTCGTATAGTCGATGACCCTTACACAGCTGTGAGAATGAATGTCGACATCTTTCTGTGTTACAGTTGAGGAAGGCTTACTTTGAGCAGCTTGAGGAGATCCGATTTCTCATGGACCAAGTCAGTCTGAAGGACAGGCGTATACAACAGCTTGAGGACGAGCTCAAGACACGATAAGCTGCACGTCGCCGTGACGACGCCAGATGGCGTGCCGCAGAGGAGGCGCGTGTAGGTCGTCGTATTTACGCGCAGTGTCATTTAGACGTTATCGAATGTGTGGATGTGTGTGTGTGTGTGTGTGCGTGCAAGCGTGCATGCGTGCGTGCGTGCGTGCGCGTGTGCGCGTGCAGTCTCCTCCAGGTGCCGTTGCAGCCCACAGCATACAGGCGTGGGTGTGTGCGTGTGCGTGCTGTAACGAATTGGAAGATTAACGGTTCACTTGTCATATTGTCGTGTCGGTGTGGGATAGCCAGGTGGCGCCGTTCATAGCCTATAATGGCCAGGTCTGGCACAGATTTTCCACGCGAGGGTGTGCTGTATGTATGCTGGCTTTCCCTTGAGGCCTGTTTCATGTTTGTCTGTGCCCCAGACTGCACTGCCCTTGTGCATAGCCTCACATCACCGAGCAGATCGCCTGGACTCAACTATATATAGCAACCTATTGCTTTTGCATACGTATATGTCCAAGTAAGGTTTAAGAAGTGTTGATGGAAGCATGAAATATCTTATAAGGTATGTAGAAGAATATGTATATTGTAAGTGTGGAATATCGAGCTAAATATTAAGCGAATCGTAGCATTATGAAATGCCATGTGTGTATAGCTGAGTATGGAATATCACAAAAGCTTGACAAACATAAGCCTCAGTGCTCTGTCAGATGCAGTTTTACAGACTGAATAACATATGAGGCATGGATATACGTAGTGTGACGTCAGCCACAGCTTTGATTCTTAACGACAGGTGTTTTAATGTTCCAGAAGCTTCACAAACATTCCCGAGAGACGCACCAGGTTTGTGATAGTATTACAGTGACCTTTAACGTCATTGATTGAGTAGTCTGGAAGAGGCAGACCTACTTTTTAACGTTGCGAAGTCTTTTAGTCCATTCCACGATTTTACTGTTAGCCAGCAGTGCTCAACGGGTGGTGAATAACCGTGGAGAGTAACGATAACATTCCGAAAAACAACCAAATACAACATTCCTTTACAAAACCAAATCAACCTTCCTTGAAGTATTGATATAAATTCTGGTTCATTGCTCCACTCGTAACGTTAGACCTTTGTTTTCTCTCCCGTCTTGAAGCTAATTAGCTTCTTTTATGCCTTATTGTGCGAATGCTGCACTGTGTCCACGCGTGCATGGACATTGATCACACGTTCATCCTGTAGACGTCGGCATCCCAGTCCTTCTCTATGCTAATGATAGGGAATGATAAGATTGTGGTGTAGATATATTCTCCTGAATCATGGAAACTGCATAAGATTGTGATGTAGATATATTCTCTTGAATCATGGAAACTGCATTAGGTTCAGTTAAATTCGTACAGCTCCATTTACAGCAACTACGATTTAAGATTGCCGTAACAATCTTCATCCTTGTAAAAGCTAGCGTTTGCACTGTGTGAGCCGTGTCGCATGGTCGCCATAGCAATGTCTTTGTTTAAGGTCAGTCGATCAGATATTAATTACCTGCATAATTAGACAAGCGAACAGGCAACTGCTTGTTTCAATGTAATCTTTTAACTCAGTCTCTCTCCTCACCTGCCTCTCGTTAGCAGTAGCTCCACTCACAGAGTGCAGTATGAATGTTTAACTACTACTGCGCTGTCACGTGTAGCTTCATCTTGCTAATTAGCTGAGCTGATACAACTATGTGTGCATTTTAGATTTAGTGTAGACCGATTTTTAGTAAAACGGTATACGAGAAAAACGTTTGTGACTGGTGACAGCGAGTTTGAATGACATTTATAACAGACGTGTCGCCTAATAATAGAAAATATTATTGAACTAATTAATTCTACTCGTTGTAATGTCTCTTGAGTGTTTTTTAGTGATCAAGGCTATATGTTGAGACCTTTTTGTTTGCATATAAATTTTATGCAATGAAATCCCTTTATTACGAGCACTGCCTTATATTTTTATGAGATTTCTCATTTATACTGTGTTTAGTATTTATATAAATATATATATATATAGAAAAAGAGAGAGAGAGCGAGACAGGTAGATTTATTGAAATGTATGAAATGTATTAGTCATCAAGGTTAGCTGAAAATATTGTGATGAAAATGTTCTGAGATTTTGTAAAAATGTTTCTAAAGCTTCATTCGCAAATGTTGCTACTGTTATTTCGTTGCACGCTTAGCCGACTCCCTTGAATATGATTTGTGATGGACATACGTGGAGAGACCCATTCCTTGTTGCGAAACAGGTAGAGTAACTGGGCATCAGTCGTGACTCGTGTGACGGTCGAAAGTAATAGCGGGACTTTGAAACATTTTCTGGTGTCATTTGTAGGTGGCGCTGAACCGTGTAAAATACGCTATGGCTTTTGGGGCATTGCATTTCCAACTAGCTGCAATATAGTGCAGTATTACACTAAACAGAATAGTTTCGGTGCTGCCAGTGGCACTTTTGTGGGTATGCATGATTTTCCCATTTTCACGGAGACAAACAGTAACACAATAAAACCATTTTACCACCAAACAGTGTATGTAAGGTTTAATATGAACATATCTGTATTCAGGGGGAATCGAGTAAAAAATTAGTTTATAGTCATTACAATTGTTGGGAAAGTGATACTTTATCAATTTAAAACACCCATGCGTTGACATCAGCCTGTTGTATAATACTGATAATCATAAATTACATTATGGCGCCTCTAGCTCAGTAACGCTGATAGGGTCTATGTCTCCCTGGGTACTGCCGGAACGTACCCTGGTAACTATCTGATATGGTTAGGGTTAGGGAATAGGCGTAGGCGACTCCCTAGACTCGTTAGTGGAGTAGGTGTAATAATGAGTTCCTTCTACTCGTTTGTTATCCGTGATCGTATGAGTGGTCTACGTATATTGTTAGAGATATCGCTGTACGCATCATACACCAGTCACTGACCACTGCAGGTACGTGGTTAAAGTACAAACATCTTTACTGTTCGGGAATGATAAGACATATAATGTGTGCCCATGTAATGAGCAGAACGTATACAGATGTGTATGCGCTATACGAACAGAACTTACATCTCAAGCGTTGGTAGTAGTAACCGCAACAGTAAGACTAGATATACGTGTATCGACTGGATCGCAAATAGCAGAGAGAGGTAATTTCATGGAATGCACTTTAAATACTGACGCCGTCGTCATTGTTTTAGCCAACGCCCTCCCATTGGTCGAGGCATCTCGAGTGACCGCTGGTCAGGCGTGTCAACGCAATGGCTGGCTAGGGTCGTTGGCACGCCCCTTGACCCCCCGGCCCACGTGCGTCTCTTAAGAACAAAGAGCTTTGTTCTTATCATTCTAATTTATCCTTATTATTACATATTACATATTCCGTATTACATTGGCGAGGTACGGTCCGGCATATTAGATAGTACCAGGGTACGTTCCGGTATACCAGACCGTACCCAGGGAGACATACACCCTGGCAACCTCAGTAACACCAATCAGCGGTTCACATTGTTGTCCTTATTTTTGCTTCAGTACTACTGTAACTACCGGTATAGTTGGGGTATGATGATGCCTTAACCTGGCAGGTCATGACGATTTATTCAAAGATGCTTCTGCTTTAAAGAAAACCAGTGTAACGTTAGTATTGCTATGGTTACCAATGACAAGCTTAAATTCCACCGTTTGTGTGCATTCAGATTTTCTGAACATTACTGTGTATAATTTATTTCGTCTGTACTAATAAAATCATTGTGTTGAGAAAATATTACTAAAGCCAGGCCCAGTTGTGTTATAGTGACTAACTGCCACACAATTTCTGTATTTGCCATATCTGTAGTAGAGTAATTAATCCGAGTGTGTTCATTCCAGTTAAACGTCTTCGAATTTTACGGCTAAAAGTATGTCTTCTTCCACAAAAGTTAACAGACGAATGCAACGTAATCATTTCATGACTAAATTAACCACAAAAATGTGAACAACAAAACCAGCATCCAGATAAACATCATAGCGTTTTATTTCCAACAACATGCCATACAGCATTTAAAAAGAATTGTATACCAGAGAATATAACTGCCAATTCGACGAATCTTGTGCACCACTGGCACGCATCACAATTAATTTTAAATTTGCGAGGATATTTAAAGAGATTTCATACTATATATAACTGTAGGCACAATAAATAAACAATGCGCAGGACTAGTGAACAAGTTTTGCCAGCATACGGGCGATGCGCTGTTACACCGAAAACGACGGATCCACCACAGGGACTTTCTTAAAGCGTACGCATGCGTTTAACATGATTCGTGCACGAAGAGGGAAAAGCATGTGGCAGTAACGCCAGACCGTGTGAACTGACAGTGAACACATTGAGATTTCCTAAAAATGCACGTGCGAAATTCGTTCCTGCCACGCGGCGACCGCATACGCACTGCCCAACAGCTGACAGTGCGTGCGTGAATTGCGACAACATCGATATAGCAGCGCGACCAGCCAGCGGCGCCCCCTGCCATGTACGAACCATGACACACCCATGGCGTGCATGAGATCAGACTAGATATCACCACCAGTGACCACTCTAAACACCTTGGGAATGAGTTTGCGATGCTTTGGCATCACATGGAGCCTGCGCACCAGATGGTGGTAATGTCCCCGGCATGCATACCTGGTGCATTTTCCCACGACCTGACTGCTTCTCTTTATGTCTCACTCTTTCTTTTGATGGTGTTAGTGCGATGATATGCTTGGCGTTACACGCTGTGAGTTCACAATTCGTGCACGACAAAGGGCCAGGTTCAGAAGAAAGACTCGTCCCCAACCTTATTTCCACCACTAGTCGAGTTCGGTGCGCATTTTTACTATTTTCGGGTTATTTTTTTCAATAGCTGCTCTCTTCTATTTTGGCTAGACGCACAAGGCAACCAGAGAAAACATGGGACTCCTGAGAGTTGAGTTTACTTAAACTTCAGCAGTTTTTGCTGGCTGCGTCCCAGGCATTGCCAGCAGTGAACTACCTCGCCTGCAACTCATTGTCTAACACAACTTCAGTCTCCATCCCTTCATCTCGCTCACACACTCAAAAAGCTATAGCAGTCTCCCGGCCGAACCAGGCAGTGCTAGAGGATATGTATGTATGTATATATATATATATACATACACACATACCTATTATATATGCATATACGAGTGTCAGAAATTGGCACTGCAAGCTTTACAGCATTTCAGCTAAAACTAGCGGACAGAAACGCTCTCTGCTGGAAAACTAAATATATAAGCAAACAGAAGTTCGTGAATGTAAACCAGAGCAATAGAGAGAGAGCGAGAGGAAGAGAAAGTGAGAGAGAGAGAGAGGAAGGGAAACGGATTCATGAGAGATTGAGTGAGGAGACAAGAGAGTAAGAAAGCAAAAGGGGAGCAAGGGAAAGGAACAGAGAACTAGAGATGAGAGACAAGGGAAGAAGGTACAAGGTGGGAGTGTACGATAGCAAGTGGAGAACTAGTAAATGAGGGGGTGGCAGAGAACGTATACAACTGTGTGAAAGAGAGAGACGGGTGAGAAAGGGACACAGAGATGGTCAGAGAAAAAGGAAGACACAACAAAGCCAAGTGTGGCGTGACTCAATGGTTCAGCAGCATACCTAAATTAAGATTCAGCATTACTCTTCATACGAAGCACTCTCTGTACAAGTGTAGGTCTACTCTGTTCCCAAACCAACATCACCAACTACTAACTCCATCAGCCTATACTTTCCACACAAACCCCTAATTAATGTACATGTACATACTCACACACACACACACACACATACGTACACACGAACGGACCTAACCATGATGCGACACACTCCCTACTATCGTCAATATGGTCATAATATATTTCATCGATAAACCCGATAACAAATATCTGATCTAACTATCCAACAGAACTATCCGACACGCACTCGTGACAGCCCACAGATATGCTCAATTCCTACTCGCCCACTGTATTCGCCCACGCACGCAGAAGTAAAAATTCCAACAACGGGCAGAACCCCAAACTTGACGTCTACCCTCACGACGGGTTTACCCCCAACAGACACACATGCTACCGTGCATTCACGCACGACAGCGAAGCACAGTGTTCTCTCTCTCACACACAAAGCCGTGACAGAGAGCGATACGACGCAGGGCACAAAGCTCTCTCTCACGCTCCTACGATGAAACGAGCATGCAAAACCGAGACGTGGTCACGCTCTCGCGTTTCCGAATAACAAAACAAAAACAAAAACGAGGAAAAATTACGACAGCAGGCGACACGCTAATATCCTCTCGCGTTGGCATTCGAGTGAGAGAACGATAAAAAGAGAGGCAAGCGACGATGTAACATGCGCGCACCAGCGCGATTGCCATGGCGACTAATCGGCAAAGATGATGCGCATGGTGTTGGTGAAGCCGGCGCCCTTTCGCCATCCTGTGACAACCATGACAGGATCGCTCTCCTGGATGAAGCCACGCATCTTGCCCATCTCGATGCAGCGCTTTACGCGATTGTCGACGTCCGTTGCCCAGTCCGGATCGCGGTCCTCTGTAATGAAGCGAAACAGATCTATTAGTGACCAAATATGGACATCGACTCATTAGTGACCGAGCGTTGAATCTAAAGTATCCCAAAGATTAGAAGGCATGGAATGTGACAAACCACCAAAGTTGCCAGGAATTCAAGTGAAAGTCCATTACATGATTTAATGAAAATTAAGTTAATTACGTAGTCGAGATAAAACAAGATTTCATTTTAATTATGTAACGATGCTGATGTTACTAATGTAAATGTACCAATGTGCAAGAAAAAGCTAAAAATAAGTTGAAATTTTCTTAATTTCATAATGTAAATTTATGATTGTGGAAGCAAAATTGGACATAGGATAAATTACAAGTGGACAATCCTTGATCATATAATTATCGTATCAGCAAGCCGCGAGCTTGTCTATGTTGCAAAATACATGTAATCTCACTTCTGTCTAACTCGTTATTGCCAGTATTGCTGCTTTACTAGCATTTCAGTATGTATGAACTGTACTAAGAAAATAATTATGCAGTGCTCAGCAGCAGCAGTGTCTAAATTTCCACCATCCACATACTACACTACTCGACTATCATAAATGCTGTTATAATAATAATAATAATAATATTAATAATAATATTAATAATAATAATATTAATAATAACAAACTTAAATATATTATATAGAGTCTATACCATATTATTCAAGCTTGTGTAAGCCTACTGTTATTGCACGTGTGGTTATTTAGTTGTTTAACTTCATGTGCATCTACAACTCAGTCTGACAATTTACCTCAACTTCTTTGCATTTCATGAAGTTTGTTGCATATTTCTGGCTCATTGAGAACATTATATGATGTATTAACACTGCAACCATGCTTACAAGTAGCATATCTGAGCAGGAATTATCCACTTGGATGCATACAAGTGCTTATGAATGCTTTCAATAAGGTGCCCCAGGGGTTTTCTTGATTTAAAATCAGAGGGATTATGCAAAATACATTTCCACCAAGTTCTCCACGTTAATTTATCTAAAAAGGAAGTATAAGAAAAGAAGTCTATCATGCAAGAGACTGCACTTTCAAATGTGTTTATAGATTATATGGCAGTGTGCAGCCTGTAAACTAGAGACCTAGAAGTAAACGTGGCATACTCACTGGTGTAGTGCAGTGGGAATACTCCGCGATAAAGATGCGACTGACGCGCCACCTGTCCGCTGCGAGTGATGGTCAGGATGGGGCAGCGTGGCCGGTACTGTGAGATCAGATACGCAGACCTGTAGATGATAGAGCAATCGGATTAATACACAGCAATAGAACAGTTGAAGAACACACAGACGAACGCACGTGACCAGGTACAAAAACTGACTTGGATACAAATAGATGCATATATGCACAAAACCAGGCTCACACACACGTAAGGGTTTAGACACTGTTTCAAGTAGCTTGTCTGGATCACAGGCACTTGAAGCGTTTCAATAAAATATAATGCTAACTAAATACGAAATCTATTTACTACCAAATTCTTAATGTTTCTATACTCTCGCCTATTATTGCCGACAGTTTCCTGTAAATTCCGTCCAAATCCTACGTCCAACCATACGCTGCCGGCGCCATTGCTTTCGTGGCGCCATTGCTTTCGCGGCGCGACTGTTGCACGCTTACACTAATATATACAGCAGGTAGGAAAGCCGGATCGCAAAATTCGCTTGACGCTCGCTGGATTTCACACTTTCACAGCACCAATACACATCCAACAGCTTCCATCTCTGTTTCTCTTTCAACAACAGTGTTCACTTGTTATAAAAACATAATGTCTCTGTTCGTAACCGAGCTGTGTCACGCGAAATCACACAAAGACTGACGAAATTCTAGCATTCGCAAACCTTCCACAGTAATGTAAATGTCTGTCAGAATCAGGAAACGCCTACCGGCACTCTTCGTGACCTCATTCTTGCGCCGCAACGCTGCAACGTTCCAATGGCGAGGCTCGTACGGGAGTTGGAAAGCAGTGCGCCGCCTGCGCGCCGCCTATAGTCCATAGACTGGCACTCGCTCCCACCTCTCGGCTTAGCTTAGTCACTCGACGGGTAATCGAATTGGGGGCGAGTCCCAGTCTATATAGCCCTGTATTCTGACAGACATTTACATTACTGTGAAAGGTTCGCGAACGCGAGAATTTCGTCAGTCTTTGTGTGATTTCGCGTGACACAGCTCGGTTACGAACAGAGACATTGTTTTTATAACAAGTGAACACTGTTTTTGAAAAAGAAACAAAGATGGAAGCTGTTGGATGTGTATTGGTGCTGTGAAAGTGTGAAATCCAGCGAGCGTCGAGCGAATATTGCGATCCGGCTTTCCTACCTGCTATATATATTAGTGTAAGCGTGCAACAGTCGCGCCGCGAAAGCAATGGCGCCGGCAGCGTATGGTTGGACGTAGGATTTGGACGGAATTTACAGGAAACTGTCGGCAATAATAGGCGAGAGTATAGAAACATTAAGAATTTGGTAGTAAATAAATTTCGTATTTAGTTAGCATTATATTTTATTGAAACGCTTCAAGTGCCTGTTGTCTGGATGGATAAAATTTAAAGCTTGTTCGTATATATGGAACAGTTAAAATGGCTGCAAAAACTGTTCTACATTTATAAACGACTCCCAATAATATTGCTTTCTTGTGTTTCATTGCCTCTCGTTTTTGCCGGCCCACCACCATGACCAATCATTCCTAATGGCCTGGCTGAAATTGAGTTGCCTGTAAAGGTTACTGAGTGGTATGGACCTGTGGCAAAAATACATTAATCAGATGCCTGCTTGGCGTTTCGCATGAAATCACATTACGCATGCAAACTTGCAATTGCTGCCCACCTGCCAGTTGTCGTGATGCAAATGATAGCTGCAGCCTGGGCTTTAAGAGACGCCTCAACCGTTGCTATGGCGATAGTATGAGCCGGGTCGGTGGGCACGGGGGTCAGCTCTCTCAGCTCCTCAAACAACTGTTTCTGAAAGACGGCGGCTTCAGCCTCTTTGCAGATCTGTGGATGAGAAACAAGAACTCCCATCAGCTCTGACATTTCCGGATCCCCTGTCCACACGATAATAGAACAATTACCCCCATGCAATTTACTCCCTCCCTCTGGAAAACCACCCACCTCGGACAACCACAAAAGTGCAATTATACCTAGCTGCGATTTAATCAAACGATTTTTATTTTAGAACAAATTCGTTCATATTATAACTGAATCTAAAAGTTGTTTATAAGAGATTGCAATCCTTTTCCTCTTAAATTAATGAACAAGCAACACCTTCGGTCTGTAGCTTGCAGCCGAAAAGTTGCGATGTGCAACTTTGAAAGCAGATGGGCTAGTAGTGGTGCCACCGTCGTTGTAAGCAACGATACAGCCGTTAGTTTTAAAACAGTTTTCAATAACATTTTCCTAATGAATATTGAACAATAAAAATGTGTATGTAGTGTAATTTAAACCTATTTTTAACTGAAAATATGCAAGGGACCTAGGGTCATGTATCATTTGGAGGCAGGCATGCTTACATTTGGGTTCATCCCAACAATTAAAAGATCAAAACTGTTATGAAGAATGAATAATAAACAACAGGTGAGTAATTGTCCAGGCGACTGTCCGGAGAATGAACAGCACCCATGGGGGTATTTGTCCAGGGCAATTGTCCACGGGGTGAATGTCTGAGGGGTATTTGTCATAGCACCATCCACACACCCTCCTCACCTTCCCCTGACATCAATATCCTCCCCATTCTCATAATTCACTCTCATGATGCATATATGCTACATCTACACTTATCGCACAAATTATCCTCATCCCCCTCACAATTAATATTCTCCTCCTCTCTATCTTTTGCATCTTCCTTCCTCACTTATCCACACCTCAATATCTTCCCTTATCAATCGCTCATATCCTTCTCATCCCCCGTCATCTTTTGTACTGCAGATTTCCCCCCAAAATGTCAATAATAAAATGTCTTAAGTTAATGAATTATCTATATCACAAAATATTTTTGAAAGCTCATGCAATTCTGCTGGCAACACGAGAAACACAGTCCACATTAGTAATAATACTGTTGTACAGTACAGCTGGCTATAATCTTGTCATGTCACACATTTCAATCACAAGTGTTGACATCACGTCTTAAATAACGTGGGTATTGAGCTGCTTTGATTTCTTACGCTTCAGTTTAAAATATTGATTACAATACTACAAACAGACCCGCCAACCCCATTTCACTTCTCTCTAAAACAATTTTCCATAATTTCCCATTTTTTCAAATCTGTCCATAATGCCTTTCTGACAGTGATTATATATCGACCGACAAAACAACTCTTTACTTCATTACTATACATTAGCACAATGACTGCAGTGCCAGTCAGCCCCTGATGGATTTCTGATAGCAAATAAGATTAATGTATTTCTCTAACTGCAGATAGTTCTGAAATCTTTTAAACAGATTTAATTTGGATTTGAGTGACTACGCCTAAAAGCAAATGGATTTTTATATAGCGTTAGAACAAGTTTTTTTGCATTTTGTTATATTTGTGTTTGTGACTCTTTTGCTAGATCATATTATTTAAAGCATGTTCTCAACAATTGCCGCAGAGCGTCAGCGCACAACTGACGTGTACTGTAGCCAGGTATTCTTCTGATAAACTCACCGAAGGCAACCGAATCAAGTGCGCACTCCTGCCACCGCGTTCGCGCTCAGAGCATATATCTAGGATACTACTAATACAGATCTAAAATCTATGATAGGCTTTGCTATACCTACTGGTAGTACAGTAATAAAGATACAGCTGTGTAACTTTAATGACTTCGCTATATTAACATGTTATCATGGATATGCGTCGAGCGCGAGCGTAGTGGTGGGGGGGGGAGGGGGCTCTAATAGCAAAAGCAGTTCAGTCCTTTTTAACAGTCCACAAATCCATGTTTAACCCTCCTCTTGAGGATCAAAAAGTTATCTATTACTTAAATGATAAAAACGGTAGGTCAGCGCTGAAACAAAAAAGTTTTGCACTCGGTCCGTTAGACCAAGTCCTCAGAAAATGTCTGATATCTGACCTTTCCCCGGGTGGCACTGCCCTTTGACCTGTGACCTCCAATTTCGTGCTGGTGATTGGTTTCATCCCCATCACACTATACATCAAATATTAAGAGCGTAGGTCGAGCCGTTGAGATTTGTGCAATTCCGTATTTCCTCCAATACCTTAAGTTAAGGAGGAAATATTCCCCCTCCATTGACAGATCTTGACCTTTGACCCCCAAAATTCGCCATCCCGAGTCCTTTTCGCGACCCCCCCCCCGAATATCAAGATCATACGTCGAGCGGTTAAGATTTGCGCCCAACTGTTAACGGACGGACGGACGGACAGACAATCATGCGATTATACAAGCTGCATCCGACTTCGTCAGTTGAGCTAAAAAGGCAATCAGTAACATTTACCAGGTGTGCCAGGTACTTCAGGCCCCCCAGAAAATCTATCCTGAGGGTATTATGCAACAGATTATGTTTTGGCATATAAAATACAGCATTTCAAATGTGAAAGATCTAACGTATTGAATTAGGTCTCGGGCACAGCTGAACGTATTGTTCCACTTCACGTACTAAAATAAACATTCAGGGTGTTATAATTAAACAATTATCCAACCTTGCCTCGCCCTGCACAGACCTTCCATCAATACCAACTAGTCAACCACTATATTTAAAACGAGTAACAGACCGGAAAAATACTGCTCCGCAGAAAACTTGCAGTTCTAAGTGATTAGATGGGTTCATTGTTCGAGACAGCACAGCCATTCATTGCAAGTGACAGAAACTGAAAACATGAATTATCTCATGCCGAAGGCAGGACAAGTGGTTTCAATTCTGCCCATCTCCTCTACTGCAATATCTGGATTCATATGCATTAGATGGCTCGATTTTCAATCAACGTCACGTTACTGCCTAATAAATATCACGGATTTTCGTGCCACATGCAGAGAAATTGATTTGATGCCAGATACAGTTCAGCACAACTGCAACAGCATTGGCAACTACCACGAACTATGTTACAAAGTGTTGGCGAATGTAATAGGGGGGGGGGGGAACTAATATAGTGTAACAAATATTAGCATTATTCTTTCATGACACATCTACAAGAATATTCTCAATCTGGCATTCTATGGTCCAGCAACCTCCACAATATGGCACTGTTCCAGATAACGTTCCAGGGAAAACTCACTGCACATCAGGTGGCACTTTAGGAAACATCACTTTTTAATATAACACATACAATTCTTTCACCTAACATTCAGCATTGCACAACACACCGGCTTTAAAAATTAAAATAAGCGTGAGGGCTTAGACGAGATTTCATTGTACTAGATAATCTTCTTAGGAATGACCTTTCTTAGGTTCTTGTAATAAGGCATGAAATGGATCCTTAGGATGCCGAACTAAAGACACTCAGCTATAGTCCGTGAGTGATGGGCAAGTACCATATGCATCACAGCCATTCAGCCACTCAGCTGTAACCGAGTGCGTGACGTGTGATCACACGTCGTGTATGACAGCTATTCAACTGTAACCGAGTGTGTAATGTGGGAATACATCGTGTATGACAGCTATTCAACTGTAACTAAGTGTGTAACGTGTGAATACGTTGTGTATGACAGCTATTCAGCTGTAACTGAGTGTGTAACGTGTGAATACATCGTGTATGACAACCATTCAACTGTAACCGAGTGCGTAACCTGTGAATACATCGTATGACAGCTATTCAGCTGTAACTGAGTGTGTAATGTGTGAATACATCGTGTATGACAACCATTCAACTGTAACTGAGTGTGGAACCTATGAGCTGACATACCTACTCAGGGTTCTCCAAGCTTTTTCATTATAGCATGGCGGGTGCTGCCTTTACGCTCCTAGTTGCAAATCGCCGAAGGCGGTTTGCGTGCTAGGGGGGTCCGGGTGCTATGATATTTAGAGTGGCGGGTGCATTTTAGGATGGCGGGGCTCGACGATAGCCTGGCAGGCCGCCAGGCTATAAGTGCTCTTGGAGAACCCTGCTACTGCACGACGGCCCTTCACCCATACTTCGCATGCGTCACCAATGTGCAAGTGCACATACCTCGTGCATTATCTTGACAGCCTCCAGAGGGTACTTGCCCTTGGCGGTCTCGCCCGACAGCATGACGCAGTCGGCGCCGTCCAGAATGGCGTTGGCGACGTCGCTGCCTTCGGCGCGTGTCGGCCGCGGGTTGGTCACCATCGACTCCAGCATCTGAAAAGCGCGTCGATGGGTTACGCCGGCAGCACGTTCAGCTAAACGGGGCCGTCGTTACCCACGGCAACCCAACAAACATCCTTCCAGCTACCGATGATAGACCTCTACGAGGAGCAGACAAAAACGCACGAGGTGCACACGGACGTGAAGCTCTTACTAGTGGCCATACACATAGGTTCCCATATGTGGGCAGACGCGCATGTACACATGCACGTATGCACTCATGCACACACACAAATGCTCACAGACACATCACACAGGGACAAACACATAAGCACGCACACCTGTGATTACTAATACAGGATTTCTGAGAGAAAATTTGACAAAGGAGGTAATGGCCAGTTTCGGGAAAAAACGCGCATGACGGATTCAAATACAGGATGTATTGATATACTTATAGGTATATAGATACAGGATATACTTATCAGTAAATACAGGATGTATTGATATACTTATAGGTATATAGATACAGGATATACTTATCAGTAAATACAGGAACATTTTCACAACGGCGATGTTAAATTTGACAACGGCGGTGCACCACTGTGCCTCTTATGTATAAGAAACCTTGTGATACCCACTTACTTGCACACACGCACTTAACAAACACACGCAGCGCACACACGCACTTAACAAACACACGCAGCGCACACACGCACTTAACAAACACACGCAGCGCACACACGCACTTAACAAACACACGCAGCACACACACGCACTTAAAGCCGCACAATGCGCATCCAAACGCTAATTTTTCCAGTACTAGACTAGCAAACACTTCGTGGCATGCATAATCACACTACCTTATGACAAAATAAACTCTAGTTGCTCCCATTTCACTGCGCGTTTGCTTAAAACCCACAAGAAAGAGGTGAGAAAACTGGCACTCTGGCGCTAACGCCGGCTTATTTGCCAAACAATTTAGCCTCGAAGTGGTTAGGGTGACGTCACATGTTTTTATCTTTGCTACACCCGTACCGCTGTACCGCAGCACCGCTGCCCGCTGCACGGTTGCTTGGGGAAACTGTCAACAACATCGAAGAATTTGAACAACATTGGAGGTATTTTTAAGACAATAATACCTTTTTTAAGACAATGCGCAGTGAAATGGGAGGAACTAGAGTTTATTTTGTCATAAGGTAGTGTGATTATGCATGCCACGAAGTATTTGCTAGTCTAGTACTGGAGAAATTAGCATTTGGATGCGTATTGTGCAGCTTTAACAAACACACGCAGCGCACACACGCACTTAACAAACACACGCAGCGCACACACGCACACGCAGCTGGATGAAGAGTACACAGCTGATAGAGCTGTTGCCATGGTTACCTGCGTCGCACAGATCGCTGGCTTCCCGGCGCTGTTGCAGCGAGCAATAATCATCTTCTGTGCGAGGAACACCTTCTCTGGAGGAATCTCGATGCCCAGGTCACCTCTAGCAACCATAATTCCGTCTGCCTCATCAATGACCTCGTTAATCCTGCAAATTAACAAGCCATTAGTCACAACTCAATCAGAGGCAAGACGATGTTCCCTCGATACAAAAAATAAGATCAGCACTCTGAGACAGAAAATAGACTGGGTCTATAATAGCATAAATATTGTGACGTCCTACTGCAAGTGATGAGGAACACACTAGGTGGCAAACAGTTTCACAAATTATTTCCCAACAGACGTGTTTAACTCCACCACATAATGGATATTCACAGCTTCAGCACCTGCACTGGCACACCGCACACTCGTGGGTCACACACGCAGCGATAGGTGTTTGCTTACTCATCTACGCGGTCACCGCCGCAGCGTACTCACTTGTACACCCCCTCGTGGTTCTCGATCTTGGCGATGATCTTGATGTTCTTGCCTTCCTCGCCGAAGATCTCACGGATTGCTTTCACGCCGTCGGCATTGCGGATGAAGCTCGCAAACACCATGTCTATCTGTGCAGCACAACGACAAGCCAACGTTAACGATGGGACACGCAATGTAATGAAGAGATCACTCTCGCTACAGTCAGGGGGCTACATCGCTGATGAAACCACGTACAGCTCTATCCATCCATCCAACCACCCACCCACCCTCTTACATCCACAAACATCACACATTTAACTGACTTTTATTATATTATTTTATTATTATTCAGATCGCCAGATTGTTCAAGAATAAAATCTCAGAGATTTGCCTATGAGTATTGTAGAACGCAGATAGCGCCACCATTGCTTCTGGCACTAAGTATATGAACCACAGTTACCACCGACTACAGTAGCACGTAACAGGAACCTATTATCAAATGCTTTGAACTACACTCAATCACACGTGTTAGGGGCGTGCGTATCAACCCTTGCAGAATACGACTCCCGGCTGAGCCAAGTCTAAGAAGCTCTAAGTTTTTTAATTTTGAAACACTGATTAAATTCCGCACTCGTATCAAATTAGATCGCATGCAATCTATCGGCAAAGATTCAGCAGCAGGCGCGAGAATCTTCTACAATCAGGTGATTGGTAAATCTGTTCCCAGTCACTGCAGCGCGTGCGACCTGTGTAAATTACATCGACCGTCAGAACCCAGTATCTAAAAAACACGAGCGAGACTTTAGCACCGCACGCGCGCGACTATAATATAACCAGCAGTCTGAGCAGTTTCTGACGTCACTTAGCCGACGGAGAAATTCCTGCATCGCCTCGGTGCACAAAAGGCGTTTTAACACAGGCTGCCAAAAACCAAGTGGAATCGTCGCGACGACACACGCTGTTGCCATGGCAATGCGGATACGTACTCCCTGTTCGACGCCAAACAGCAGGTCGAGCCTGTCGCGCTCAGACACAGCGGGGAGGTCAACCTCTATGCCGGGCAGGTTGACGCCCTTCTTACTGCCGAGCAGGCCACCGTTAGATACATCACAGTCCACGTAATCCTTTCCTAAACGATCAGTATCAAGGTATGTCACACATGCAAATACGATAACTTACTCAATAATACAGTGTGACAATTAAATTAAGATACACTTGAGATGATTTAAATATTCGGCTGAAGCAGTCATGACTTGCAGGAATGCAGTTAAAGCTCAGTCAGACTTCGATTAAAAGAATACGCGTGAACCATTCAATCAATATCTGTGGCAACATGATGCAATAACCACCACACATACTGCATTCACTGTACTAGCAACTATACAGTGATCTCACATCATTGTGACCAGTGGCAAATTCTCCATACACAGATCGTCACCTGAGACGAGCAACCAACCATGACGTAAATGTGCAAAGACCTGCATCCCTGCAAAGTATCATGGCACTAAGGAAAAAATCTGACTATGTGTGCAGACACTTGCATCCCTGCAGACTTGCACTGTAACTCTGGAAATCGGATATGCTAGCTCACACACAAACCTCTCTCGAGCACCTTCAGAGCGATCAGACCATCGTCGATGAATATCCTGTCGCCAGGGGCGACTACCTTCACAATGTTCTTATAGTCGACCCAGATAAGCTCCTTGCTGCACTTCTCCATGAACTGCTCGTCGGTGGTGATGCGCACCTTGTCGTGTCTCTCCATGGTGATCAATGCTGAGGGGCCCTGCAGTAGTACCACCATCACCATGCTGACCGACTCATGCCGCTATAGGCTGGTTAAAGTACTCCCTCTGTACCAAGCTGACTTCAGTACTACCATAACTAAATTATTATACTAGCTACAATATTGCCTTAAGCACCTGGACTGCTAACATACTGTCTAATACACTAACCATGGTGAGCTAAAGTACTACACTAGAAAATACCCCAGGCTTCCTCAAGTGCTCCCTTCGTATATCACCGCATGCTAGCTAAAGTACTGCCTTATATATAACCACAGGCTAGCTAAAGTACGGCCTTATATATAACCATTGGCTAGCTAAAGTACTGCCTTATACATAACCACAGGCTAGCTAAAGTAATGCCCTATATATATAACCACAGGCTAGCTAAAGTACTGCCTTATATACCACCATAGCTTTTCTTTTAAGGACTGCCTAATATACCACCACGGGCTCGTTTACACACTGTCTACTGTACCAAGCCAATTTTAGTATTTATAAATTGTACTAAACATTGCTTTAAACACTAGGATGGCTACTGATCTGGGTCACACAGGGTGGTCAGTATGTCCACGACTCTGGCATACAAACACATGGCACATCCGCTCAGTGCTACTCTCACTGGCCTACACTCATGCATGCAGTGCTTACATCTTCTAGCAACCCAGTCCTGATCTCCGGTCCCTTGGTATCCAGCGCGATGGCAACAGGCCTCACTGATTCAAACTCTGCTACAGCCGCTCGCACGTTGGCTATCGTCTGCGCATGGTACTGCAAGGTTTAAAGAGATGCTGTAAGGCACAGTCACTTGTCACATGTACCATCGTGGTGATAGCAGCAGTTTGTAGAAAAAAGCTCTCTCATTCCCTATCGACAAGAATGACATTGAGATACGTGGAGGTTTTGTTGTAGTTGCCCAGTGTAGTAGGAAATGTGGCTAGTGGATGGATTCGGTTAATCACAGATGCAGATCTCGTTAAAACGGTCCATTTGCTTGCGAAACACCAGGACACCGCTAGCCTAAATTACGCCAGACGCAATGGGAAATATTATAAATATATATTATATATATATTATATATATAAATTTTTTTATATATCATTTTATTTGCTACAATTTTCAGATCATCCAAGTGGATAGGAATTTGTTACATTGTTTATTAAAATTTAAATGCTATGCATGTGGATTATGCGGTTTGCCATTGTCCAATAGAATTTTACCTCATGGGAACCGTGGGAAAAGTTCATGCGGGCAATGTTCATTCCTGCTTTCATCATCTCCTTCAGGGTGGAAACTGCATTCGAAGCTGGACCTGTAAGAAACAACAATACCTGATCACGAACCATTCCCATGTATAGATCTACAATTCAATGCCATTCCGATCACCTTTTTCTTATGTTTCAGAGAGGAGTACACAGACTTGCTTTTCTGCACAAGTTCCTGCAGAGGATTATTCTTCTCTAGAAAGTGTGGTGAAATGGCTAAAATTGCCATTTCAATCGCTAAATTATCACTACCATTATCATAAAAAATCATGTACTTAATCCTTTACTACTGTATATGCACATATATCTCCTATTATTAAAGGAATAATAGGTCCATTGATTATGAAATGTTGACGAATGCTAGAGTAACTGGCACCTTGTGTACAGTAGTTAATAAGTACATTACCTTATAGCCAAACGCGTATTAGTTTGTCCAATATCACTGCTGGTTACATTACAAACAAGACTTGAAATCGGTTGTTGATATGTATCAACGTATCATTTACGTGCCGTAAATGAGTCAAGCGATGACGTAAACATTTGTGCGGCCCGTATGTTTTGGACGCCAGATGAAACGGAGGTGTCAGCGGCGTTACCACGGCCATGGACTAAACATGGAAATAGAGTAAAACACACGTACTAATCACGGACGCACGTGGACAGCCCTGACAAAAAGTTCATGAGCGTCCATGTTTACAAAATCACTGATGATAGCATTGCGTACAGCCGAGCATGCGTGCGAAAATGTCCGGTGCACTATAAATCTGTATCGCACCCGCTTCACCGGCAGCAGTTTGAAACTGTAAACAACAGATTTTTGGACTGCAGATTTCAATTAGACATTTCTTAGTAACCAGCAGTGATATTGGACAAACTAATACGCGTTTGGTTATAAGGTAATGTACTTATTAACTACACAAGGTGCCAGTTACGCTAGCATTCGTCAACATTGCATAATCAATGGACCTATTATTCCTTTAAGTATTCTGAATGAATTCCTGTAAGTACTTGCATATTAAAAAATATCAACACACCTTGATAACAGGAATTTATACACTAACGAGGCAACATAGATGGAAACACTTCCTCCAGACACCACCTTACGACTTTTATGTGCATTTGAGCACTGCATGAACTATAACAAACCTATGCTATTTTGAGGGTTCAGATTTCAGCTTAAACAAACAGAAGCAAGGCACCGAGACATTTCCATCAGGATATACGATGTAATCATGAGGGCCGTTGTCAGAAACATCGTAAAGTTAATGCTAATGTTAATGCAAAGATAACACTTACGACGAATGTTAATGTTACGAGAGGAGCGTTGACAGAAACACATCGCAGCTATTAGGAAATTTACGATAACAGGAACTTCCTCACAAGGCTGCTGATTGGATGAGAATCGATCACAAAATTCAAATTCATACACATAAATTTATTGTACATCACAGTAATTTATGCATATTATGATGGCTAACCACATATAAATAATATTTGATAAATGAAAGTGTCAATGACACTATAGCTCACCTTGGCTGTGATAGAAGAGGGAGATGATATTTAAAATTTGGTATGTGTTTCATTTATAACGGACCGAAATGTGATCAAAAGTCCGTATTCCTTGTTTTATACTAATAATAGAAGTTTTACCGATTTGTTTCAGGGTTAGTTTTGATGCAAAAATAAATGTTTCAGATCTGAAAGTCTGAAATCTGGGCGAGAGATGGCGCTACGCCTAAATGATCGCCATTATGGTTTTCAATTATCGCACAAATAAAAGTAATAAAATATTCCAGTGTAACGAAGAATCTAAAACACAGTATTACATGTAGGTACATGATTAGGTAGGTAGGTAGGTAAATTTAACAAAATCGAATGAATCTAGATGGCCATTTCCATTTTTGCCAAAAAGTTGGCGTGGCTCAAAAGTAGGTTGACTGGCATGCTCCAAAATTGGACATTCAACTCTCTCCCATAGGAGTAACAAGTGTATGCAATTTGAAACATGTGGGTCAAACGGTTCTTGAGTTATCGTTGACCTTAGGCAGACACTGAAAAGCATAATGACATTGCCAAAATCTACCTAATTTAAAAAAAAATATCGACACCTGTGTGATATGTTTTGGGGCCAGTCATTATTCATTCACATACCAATAATGACCAAAACCCGTTGAACCTGAACTGACCTAAGGCCATTTCCATTTTTACCAAAAAGTGGGCGTGGCTCAAAAGTAGGTTGACTGGCGTGCTCCAAAATTGAACATTCAACTCTCTCATAGGAGTAACAACTGTATGCAATTTGAAACATGTGGGTCAAACGGTTCTTGAGTTATCGTTGACCGTAGGCAGACACTGAAATGCATCTAGTGAAATTGTCAAAATCTACCTAATTTGCATAATTTAAAAAAATATATCAAACCCCCTGTGATATGTTTTGGGGGCCAGTCGTTATTCATTCACATGCCAAAAATGAGCAAAATCCGTTGAACCTGAACTGAGTTATGGCCATGGCAATAGAATTATGGCCGACGCCCCATGGCAATAGCTCATCTTGACGATGTCAAGTTGAGCTAAAAACGACACGATCTTGAATTTATTCTGCACAAAAAGACAAATTCTCACACTGTAACACGAGATGTGAGAGTCGTGGTCAGTGTCAAAGCAGCGTGAGAAACTAGCGGTCGCCCAGTCGCCAGTGGCGATTAGAAAATCGACCGGGCGACTGCTTGCTCGCTGTTCAGCTGGTCCGGCGGGGCGACTAAATAATCGCTGCCACAGCGAAATGAAAGAAAGCTCAGATGACACTGTAGTCACCACAAAAAAGGACAAAAATGAGTGAGTGAGAAGAAGTCAGTTTTAATTGAGCAACCATGACGTACCTGTATAGACGAAGAGTATATATGCGGAGGAACTCCCGATTATATACTCTTGATAATTATATGTGTAATTTTTTATGTGAAAATAATAAATATATTAGTATATAAATTATAATATAATTTATAAACCAAAATGATATCACATTTGTGCGGTAGCATGCGCGCTATACCCGCTTAGAATGTTTCTTAGCATAAAATCATTATATCATCATAATAATAAGATAGCATAATAATAGTATATCATAACAATATTATGTTCATAGCAGGAATTTTGCATTTAAAGATATTGTCAATGAATCTTGCTAAAACGAAACCAGACGAGTGTGATCACACAGACTGTTTGTTATCTGGTGTCTATATAATATGCTAGTATAATTGCGCAAACTTACTAATTTGCATAATTTTTTTTTTTAATATCAAAACCCCTAAGCCCCTTATTCAGTTCACTACTAAAAATGGAGCAAAATCCCGTTGAACCTAATGACTAATGGCAATTCCTTTTTTGCAAGAAAATTGCCGTGGCTCGCAAAGTACGTCGACTGGCTCGTGCCTCCAAGAATAGGCTTTATATGGAGCATGGGCAGTAACAACTATAACCAATTTCAAACAGTGGTCAAGACGCGTTCCTGAGTTATCGTTGGACAGCTAGCAAATGTTGACGGACGGGACGGACGACGAACGCTATCGACAACCATGCAATAGCTCATGCTTGACGATGTCATAAGTTGAGGCTAAAAATTACCAAACTGATTTTATTGTTATTTCTCTACCTACCCTTCTACATTATCTCTAATTGAAATGAATGGTAAATTTAATCAAATATAGACTAACAAGGAGCGCAGAGCGTCTGGGCTATCTGGGGTCTGTTGTACGGTTATGAACGTACACATTTTCAGTGTGCGTAGTACCATTTGTTTAGGCGCAGTGATGCGATACGCAGTTGCGTACAACGCCAAAATTTTACAAAAAAAATAAACCATTGTTTTTTTTTGGTATGGGGGGGGTTTTTGTTTGTTTGGGCGGTTTAAGTTTTTTGTGGTAATTGGTAGGGGTGGGGGTTTTTAACCAATAATGGGGTTTTGGGGGGGTATTATATTGGGGGTACAACATCATGTTAGACACGGCTCACATATCTCCCCCATGCCGATTTTCGGTTTATTTTAATTACAATGCATGATTGCCTTCAACTTTGAATTTGTGATCATAGATTCACAGCCTAATCTATTTGTATCTATCTATAAAGAGAGATTTCAACATATGGAGCATGGATCTCCAATGGTTTAATGGTAGAGGCGGGCCAGCGGAGTCCTTCTCCCACCTCCTCCCCAGCTGCGCCACCTTCCTCCCTGCTCCCACTTCACTCCTCTTGGCCTCTTCCCAACTTCACCCCTACTCCATCTCCCTCCCCCTGCCTTCGACTCCCTCCCCCTGCCTCCCACCTCCCATCCCTTGCACACATCTCGCCCGACCTAATTGTACCCCGTTCCCGCTCGCATACACACCGCTATCACCGTTTTCCTGTCCCCGTCTTCAAATTTACTTACTTCTCTCTCTCTCTTTAATCTTAGACTTTCTCTCTCTCTCTTCTCTGATATTATATAAACAATGTGCCGCGGAGCGACAGCCCTTATCTAACGCGACTGCGGTGACTCTGTGGTGGACAGTGGTGGGATTCTAGTAAACCGCTGTTAGTCCCAAATGATGTTGACATACACATCGAAACAGTGGAACTGCAAGGATGGTATCAGGAACCTTCTCAAAGGAGATGGTCATTGAGTCTTTATGAAGTTGCCACGCAGCATGGCACGTACGTTTAAGTGATCTTCAGATTAAAGATGGAAGCGCTCCATCGCTGCGTTAGTAGCCCAACAACTGGATTGCAAGAGCAGATAGGTAAGCACTCATCCATTACGCTACGCAAGCCTTTAAAGGCTGCATAGAAGCTGGCCACTGTAACCAATTAACGCAGGCAAAAACTAACACAGTACCCATAACACATGGCACTGGCCAGTTAGCACTGGCAGTTGGCCCATACGTTACATGTAACATACTGACAGTAAAAAAAAGGCCAATAGAAATTATAACGATTTAAGGGAGCATGAAACCTTCTTTAACCAAAATTTAGCTTTGAAATTTCACTGTGAGCATTGTAGCCTCAACATCCAGGCATT